CTCATATATTCAAGTCACTATCTAACCAACATAGGTCCAGTGGTCACGCGCCGTCGCATGAGCCGCCGCGGGTGGCAGTCGGGTGCCCCGACTCGCTGGAAAAATTCAACTATTTTTAAAAAATTACCAAAAATTACAGAAATGAAGATCTCAAGAAGTAGAGCAAGCTTTATACTTATGGCCAAGTCCAATTTGGTCGGGAAGGCCCTCAAATTGGCTCGCACCCGTCGAAACCCTAAAGTGGGTGTCTTTCAATTCGGCTCCCTTGGTGTTTCAACGCTCCAACCACCAATTGGGTCTTGTTCCTGGGTCTAAAGGAAGTTGATTAAGGATGATGGTGAATGGTGATACTTACTTGAATGACGAATCGCCGTCGAGAACCCCCGGTTCTCCGATAGAGTTCTACCTGAATTAGACCTTAAAAACCCTTGATTTTTGGTGGAGATGGAAGGAGGAAGGTAGCTGAGTAGGTTGCAGGTGATGAATGGGTGCAAAACGCCTGAAAAATGAAGGATTTTGGCTTGAAATTGGCCGAGTTGAAACCCTTTCTTTTTGTGGGTGCATGGATTGACAAAAATTTGCCCGGGGGGGGGGGGATCCTTTCCCTCCTTTTCTTTTCTTCTCTCGCCACTCCCATGGCTTTTTTTTTTTTTTTTTTTTTAAGCAACACGACTTCAAACATCTGTAACTATACCCTTATAATCCGGACTAGCAAACAGCTTTCGCCTATGCATTCGTGACTTCGAGACCTATTTGAAAACGTTTTGTGACCTCGAAAGGTCAACGAGTAATAATGATTTTCCAAACTTCACTCTTCGTAATTAGTTTAATTGAAATCTAATTTCAAATAAATTAATATAATTTCTCGAAAATAATATAAATCTCAATAATACAAATATGTAGATTATAACAGTGAAATCCAAGAATGGGATTTCACAAAAGGATATGCTCAAAAGCCTGGAATTGATTACAATGCGACTTTTGCACCAGTATAAGGCTCTCTATGGTTTAAAACAAGCTCCCAGAGCTTGGTATGGGGAGATTGATTCATACTTCACAGAGTGGATTTCAAAAAAGCTCAAGTGAGGCAACACTTTATACAAAGTGCAATGCAAATGGAGGAATCATTATTGTCTCCATTTATGTAGATGACATACTCTACACAGGGAATGATTTTGAAATGATTCAGAAATTCAAAGAAGATATGATGATCAAGTATGAGATGTCTGACCTTGGTTTGTTGCACCATTTTCTAGAATGGGAATTATGCAAACTGATACCAGCATATTCATTCACCAAAAGAAGTATGCAACTTCCTTGCTTAGCATGTTTAGATTGTAGGATTGCAAAACAGTGAGCACACCATTGGTTCCAAATGAAAAATAGAGAAATGAGGATAGGAGTGGACTTGCAGATGAGTCAAAGTACAAAAAAATTGTTGGAAGCTTGTTGTATCTCACAGGAACTAGGCCGAATTTGATGTATGCAACTAGTTTGTTAGTAAGATTCATGCACACTCCTTGCAACAAATATCTTGGTGCAGCAAGAAAAGTCTTAAGATATGTGCAGAGAACTTTGGAGTATGGTTTAAAGTATGAAAAGGAGAAAGGGGCAGTCCTAATAGGATACTGTGACAGTGATTGGAGTGGCTCATGAGAAGCACATTAGGCTATGCATTCTCATTTAGGAGTGGAATGTTTTCTTGGGCCTCAGTAAAACAAAGTTGTGTGCATTATCCATAGCAGAAACTGAATATTATCAGTGCATCAGAGGCAACCACTCAAGCTATTTGGCTTCGATTTGTTTTGGAAGACTTTGGTGAAATGCAAACATAAGCAACACCACTATGGTGTGACAATACATTTGCCATTGCAATCACTAAGAACCCTATTTTCCATCAACGAACAAAGCACATTGATAGAAGGTACCATTTTATCAAGGATGCACTGTAGCAAGGAAAATTTGACTTAAAGTATTGTTCTAGAAATGACCAAGTAGCTTGACATCTTTACTAAGTCTTTTTCAAGAAAAAGTAACTACTATTTGAGAAGTATGCTTGGAGTAAAATCAGTGCACAATTTAAAGAGGAGTGTTGAAATGTAAATGTGTTCACTGATTTATGTTGAATGTCGAGGTGTAATATAGTTATTGGAGAGTGTTGGTTAAGTAGCTCATGAGCTAGAGGAATGGCAGTTGTAATTAGCTCATAGGTTATATTAAATAGAGAGTTGACATTGATTGATATGTGTAGCTCTCTCTCCTCTAACGATAATATGCTTGTACTGTTGTGAGCTCACAAGCATAGTGTACGAATGATCAATGAAGCATCACCAGAGTAACATTCTTAGAGTGAAGGAATTTCCAGATTTTGTTCTTCCAATTTTGTGCTTCCATTTGTTCTTTCATTTTTCTACACTCATCACAGAGCATTTAGCTACAAATTTTAACACTTTACACCCCCTAGCCGCTTGCAAATCTCTAACGCCTATCATGAATTGCCCACATCCAGTGCACCTGATCCATCGTCATCCTTGTCGAACCGTCGATGTACCTGTATGAACCCTGGGACTCGCCCGTACCCAGAAGTTACCATCTACACCTGGTGTCTGACGAAGTCGTAATGCTTGCACCACTTTTGCTACTGCAATTTTTCAACCTTGCTTGAAACCCAGAAGAAGAAAAAAAAAAAAAAAACTAATTGCTACACTTGCATGTTTGTGCTTTTTAATTTTTTTTTTTTTGGAGAAGAGAGGAAAAAACTGAAGAAAAAAAAAGAGAAAATGAAGAAAAACAACTAGGCCACTAGTTGTTTGTTTTGAGGGTCACATGGGCTGTTGTGATTTATTTGAAGCTTGTTGTTGGGCCCTAAGTTTTTCAGAATGATTGTTGTGGAGTTTGCTTGCCCGTCAATGCCGTCACTCAAGTCTTGGACTGGTGAGCATTTGAATGACAATTTTTGGAGTTTCTGAAGGTGTTTTGTTTGTTTGTTGCCGTAGTTGGGATATGGGAATTATGTTCCTTTAGTAACGGGCCATTCATACGCCTTCTTCCATACTCCCAACATCCGTTCGTTGAATCTGTTTGCTAGAATATGCTTGCATTTTTGCCTATTGGAATCTGCATGCCTGAATCTATCTGTCATCTGCCATCTAAATCTATATTCATTAGCCACCAATCTGAATATGGAATCTACCTATCCGCCTAACGGAGCTTGCCTGTCTAGGCCAAACTTAGGTTCATTTTTAATGTTTGGGTTTGGGATGGTTTCTTAGTTTTAGCTCTCTATAAATATAAGTTGTAGTTTAGTATGAGAACAAGTCAGTCACAATGCAATTCTCGAAGTTGTAGTCGTTTCGACAATCTTTTTTATTTATTTTGCATTAATAAAATAATGTTCATAGCCATATTTCGTTTGTCCATTTTTATTTTCAACTTTATGCATTTGTAGAGTAAGAGAAATCTCTCTTTGTAAGAAAAAAATGAGCCTATTTTGCTCCCCACCATTAATTGAGAGTAATGGTTACCACCTCTTTGATTACCGTTAGATGAGTTTGATTTAACTTATTTACGATACAAATATCAAAATTTAAATTCATATAACTACAATCAATAGGGTGGTGAGGCGAAAATATTTCCTAAATGAGACAACATGATCACGTTCACCACACAATTTGATAGGTGAAATGATTTCACACATCTTTTTATTTCTTTTGCAGATTCAGGTTTTCTTTCATGTCCATTCATATTTGATTTATTCAATTTTATAAACAAACTGAAATGCACAGGAAAAAGAAAATGTGCGAAAATCATTTCTTAGCAATAGTCACTTTTGAATGGTCTTAAATACTTTCTTTTTTCTCAACCAATAGCAGGTGTATGTGGAGTAACATTTCCATAATCATTCTTAAAAAAAGAAGTTATTTAGCCAAATCACAAAGCGTTTCTCCAATTTGTTATCGTCACCATTATTTGAAGGGAACTTTAACGAAAAGCATCCGGTACTGTTCACTTTAACGAAAAACCACATTTTTACACTAAAAAGTCAATCCTGGTACTATTCACTTTACCCTTTATTTTGTCCTTATCATTAAAACTAAAAGTTTTCAAGCTATTTTCATTAATTTTCCTTTATTTGAATGATCATGGATAGAATCCAAAAAGAAAATGGACTTTTTAGTGAAATGGCCTCTGAGTTTTAAATAAAAGAAAACTAATGAAAAGGGTTTGAAAACTTTGAATTTTCATCATAAGGACAAAATAAAGAGTAAAGTGAATAGTACCATGTTTGACTTTTTAGTGTAAAAATGTGATTTTTCGTTAAAGTGAACAGTATTGTGGGTTTTTCGTTAAAACTCCCTTTAAATAACTATCACTTTAGTTTATGACAATGAAATGAATAAAAGTAATCCCTGAATTTGTCCACTATTGTCATCCTATGAAAAATTTGTCAATTTCCTGATTAAATTGTCACGTGAACGACCACGTGACCACCTTTGAAGGTATTTTAGTCAAACCAACTCCACTTAACAAGAATATTGACAAGTTTTTCACGGATAGACCAACATAATTTAAGGTAAACAAACTTATGAACCACTTATATCGATTTTTATTGTCAAAGACAAAGTAAAAAATATCAATCTCAAAACCATTTTAGCTCAAAAACCAAGAAAATGGTTATGGATAGAAAGGGTCAGATTCGTACTTCTCGTACCGCAGAATTAGATGATTAAGAGAGAATTATCAATTTAGTTGTTACATAAATCTATGTGTATATTGGCTTTTTGTATAGATGAACCTCAAATATTAGGGACTTAAAAATTGAGACGATCAAGATCACGTTGTTAAAATAACCAAAATATATAACACGATATAAAATGAATGTTCTTAACCATTTGAACTATAAGTTCTTATGCCTCGCCATATATTTGGCAAAGAACATGATCGTAAAGTTGCATTCGACAATGTTTTACTTGTACTGTTCCAGACTCCAAAGACCATGATAGATAAAAAGCATATGATTAGGAATTATTCATTAGATTGGGATCATATAAGTTGCTGAAAAGCTGTATACAAACCATTCCTGTACAGAAACAGAGAAAGCACTTACATGTCATGCAGATTGCGATATTGTAGAAGATAACGCGTTAACAGACATGGGTAAATATAAAGATAAAAAAAAGGTCGTACCCAGTGCACAAGGCTCCCGCTTTACGCAGGGTCTGGAAGAGGTGACATGGGTAAATATAACGATGATAGAGAAAAATAAAAAATGATAGAGATAAGGCAATATCTGATCATCAGCTACCCAAATGTGTTCTCGCCACTGTATGTAACATAAAGAAATCCATCTGCATCCTTCTTTCCATCATATATGGTAGACATTATTGCTCCTGCAAAAAATATGAAATATAGTCCTCATAATCTTTGAGAAAAAAGTGGGCACGATGTCATAACTTCTCCAAATATTATTGAAAAATTTAAGATTATATCTCACAATCTTACTGAACATCTTTCCAATTGACTGTACAGGAATAACACACTTTACCATGACCAATTGACCATAATCCATGATTGGTCATGGATTAAACACAAATCAGAGGGAGGGAGACGGAGTGAAGTGACCACTAGATACCTGTGGCTGGGAGGACATTGTCTACAAATATGAAGATTGCCTTTTCTGCACTCAGTTTAATTCTCTTGCGGATGACATGGACAAATTGACCCACAGTCAAATCAGCTGGAACTAGGTATCTGCTACGTACCAAATGAAGTTATTAATATATTAAAAGCAGTTTAGAATTAAGTACCGAATACAACATACAGATTTGTACTGATAATAATAGAGAGAGCTTTAGAGCAAGTCCACCCATTTTAGGAGGCCCTTAATATTTACTTTGAACAGTAATTGTTCTTGAGTAAGTCCACCCATTTGTTCTTTTCAAAAAAAAAAAGTAAGTCCACCCATTTGTTAAGGGAAAAGGCACTATTCACAAATATATTTTTTTAATCTTTTTATGCTTTGTAAGTTTGTTCCATGAAAATAAAATGATTGTCTAATTTCAATAATATATTTCAAATCAAAGGAATGAAGATGGTTAGGGTATTTTTTGTTTTTTAAAAACTTTTACCCTTAGAATAATCCTAGCTGTTGAATTTCAAAATTATTTGTTGGATGCCCCAGTTTGCACCACGTGGCACGTGTAAAAAAAAAAAAAATTCAACGGTCAACAGTCCATACCACCAACTGACGGTTGGAAATCCAACGGCTCAATTTGGAGGAAAAAGGGGCCACTTGGCCCAATTGCCCTTTGATTTTGCAACCGGTGGAGATGATTTTTTTGGGTCGGGGGCAATTCAACCCACATGCCAAGGCTTCCATAGCACCGGTGGAGTTGCTCTTAGCCAACTAAGAATATTCATTACAAATAGGAAGTAATGTGAAACTGGTGCTTACTTTTTCCTGTCAATGTTGGGAATATCGCTTCTCTCTGCCTTTTCCACAATCACCTTCAAAGAACAAAAGATATAATTAAATAGAAGCAACGATTGGCATACCACAAGTGTGTTGATGCATTTGAACCGATATTACTAGTCATGTACAATGGTACTATTTAGAAAGAGATGAAGAAGTTCCATAATCTTGAGGGCTAACATTTGCAGACAACTCATATTTTCATACAATGCATCCTGGTAATGTTACTGATCTAAGTGGATGATAGTTCTATGATTTTCAATGACAATTCATGATTCAGCCATTCCCTTTGATATACCAAATGAACATATAAATTTAAATTATAATAAATCCTCACAATTTCCATTACATGCGTTATTAATCCTCTACACTCCAACATTCCATGAAACAAAGCACAATAAGCCCAACATATACCAAAGCAGACCATTTTTGTTATACCACCCTCGATGGAAAAATCGCAACAATATTTATGAATTTTCAAGCTCGCTCATAACAGACCAAGGTTAGGCTCTTTTACGGGAAAACAAGTAAATTATGATCTTTGTACCCCTTTATAAAAGTAAAGGCAGTCAGTCTCTCAATAATTTGCAGTATACTGATACAAAACATCTATTATAACAACAAGGTGCACAGGGAAACAGATCATCAACATACTACTTTCAGTCTAAAACTTAATCGCGTATGAAGGCACCTCGACACCCTAGTTCTGCTACTCATCATATCCAGGAAATGAAGTAAATAACATGAAAAAAATAATAAATATCCATAACAGGTACAAATACACCATTTAAGTGTTGAGAAAACTACTCAAACAATGACCTTCAGCAGAATTTGTGCATCTTGCTTGAGACTACAATACCTAGAATTTTATGCGGAAGCAAGCACCAAGAAACCTACAGTGCTATCCCACATTTTGATAGGCACGTTGCTAATTGAAGTTTTTACTTGAAACACGAATTCCTTCAATGCAGTGTGAAACTGATTACTATGCGGGTTACAAAATTATAAAACATGATTGGAGCTATGAAATGTCAATATACACCCAACTAAGTGTTTAAGAGGCGGAAAAGAGAACTTATATGATAGAGAAACACTAGACATTAAAAAATAGCAAGGTAATAGCAAAATTCGGTACACAAAGAGAACTGTGAACGAGAATATGTCAAATTAAAAGATAAAAGCTTGGTCCTTACTGGAATTCTGTCTGAATATTTCTCTCTAATCCTTGAGGCCTCAGCCTGTCTCTTCTCTGCATATAAAAGATACAGCACAATTAGCAACTGATTCTGCAGACTTGTAAACATCACAATTATAAATTCTGAAACTGATAAAATTGAATAGACTATACACAAGGCATAAACAAATTCAGCATATGAACACCAAAAACTTACCAAATTCATGTGCTTGCTTGAAGCTGCTTTTGGTCATAATTCTACAATCCACTGCATAAAAGGGACCAAACAATAACGGCAAACTATATATATAATCTGCTCAAGAAACCCAAAAAATAAAATCAAATTAAAAATTGAGTAGAAGTCATGATCAAAGTGGTAAAATTCAAGAAAACATCCAAACCCCAGGAAAAAAGAACAAATTCTTTCAGAAAAATCAAAGAAATTCAATCAGGTAAACAATCAATTAAGTACCTGATTCCCTTGGATGCCCTGAATAAATATAACAATCCAAGATAAACATTAACAGTCCAAAGTTATAATTTTCCAGTTTCTTTCTTCTTATTCTCGGGAAACAAACATATCCAAAAACAAATAATTGAAGAAACTTACAGAAAATATTGGGGAGGAGTGACAGACAATCTGCTGAGTTCTTCGCTTTGCAGACAAGAGACGGTGCCTTCTCATCGAGTTCATGTAAGTATTGCCCCGCAATTTAATAATCGGTTTTGTCTTCTCTTTCTTCGGTGAGGTTTGGTCCACCGGGTGGCGACCAATGAGATCTTGGCATATCAGACTAGGACCGGCTTCTCTGCCCTCCCATTTTCCATGCACTATCTTTTCCTATATCTTTTTCTATTTTGTGCGGTCACGGTTAAGCGACGTCAACATTTTATATTGATTTTTTTTATAGAGATAATAAGACAAAAAAAATAGTAATATAAAATATTAACGTGACTTAACCGTGACAGCATAAATATGAGAGAATGATAATTTATAGGAAGTGGGGGCAGAGAAGTCACGTCCATCAGACTAAGAGATTGGTCCCATTGAAGGCAATATTGGCTATGTGTATTGGCATTTTAATACTACGACTTAGGTGATTTCTAACCGGCCGTCCATAGGATCATAAATCAAAGGATAGTTTTTTTTTTTTTTTTTTTTTTACACAAAATTTATATCCAATAAAGGTTTGGGTAAAAAACTCTTGGGACCTACGTTGATGCAATGCACGACATTAAATATAGTTTTTATGTTAAATTTGATTGTTTGTGGCTTTTCATATTTCAAAGATATGTTTTATTAGGTTTCTAGTAACTATAATAGTTAGTAATAGGTATTTATCCTACCAATGTTTGCAATCTCTCTATTTAAAGGACTCCATATGTATATTTTGCTTTGTGCAATTGAAGTGAGTGATTTCTCCTTCCCCAATCAAGCATTTGGCTTGATCATGTGAGCAAATCCACGATTAGCGACGTGAGATAGCTCTGTTGCCCCTGGTTGAGTGATTCTCAGGTTATCTATCCCTCGTCTTTTCGAGACCCTTGGTCTTTCCTACATGGTACCAAAATCCAGCCATATGCCCAGCGGACTGGCCATCTTTAGCCAGCTAGCCCCTTCAGTTGGGCCTAGTTAGAATTTTTATTTTTAAAATGAAATTAAAAATTCTAATTTTTTCCTATAAATACCTAAAACATTTATACACCATTTCTCACATCTTTTTTACCGTTTCATACACCATCTTTCTTACTTATTTTATTTCAATTCTTCGCATTCTATCCACTTCAAACACTCTTTTCATACACACCCCTACCTCTTCCAATAATCTTTCCTTTAATTTTTTCAATAATTTTCAAACGGCGACATCTTCAACTGGTACTTAAAATATGTCCGGAACTCTATTTTAATATGATAGTTTAATTCAATTAATCAATAAAATTAAAGAACAAACTTAAAATAATAAATTATTGAGGGGGCAAAAATAGAGACCCCTCCAGTTGGAGATGGTATATAAATATGACATGACACTGTTTATTAAAAAAATATTTTTTTTTATTTTGTAGGGCTATAATCTGGATGGGGACAAAATATTGCTCCTTTGGTTGAAGATGACCTTAGTATTACGATTTGAACACTTAAGTTTGAATTTTGTGGATCGAGAGTTCTTAATTAAATCTCACCCCTTAGTTTAAATATCTAATTGGTGTGTGTGTGTCTATATATATATATATTACGATTTGAGCACTTAAGTTTGAATTTTGTGGATCGAGAGTTCTTAATTAAATCTCACCCCTTAGTTTAAATATCTAATTGGTGTGTGTGTGTGTCTATATATATATATATATATATATATATATATATATATATATAATTGGTGGAAGTTTCAAGTTGTGTCTAATTTTAAGATCGAAATATTTTGCAGAGAAGGTTTTAGTGTGAGGCACTCGAGGAATAGGTAAGTAACATTTAGAGATTGTTTGATAATTATTTTATTTTTAACTTTTCATTTTCATTTTTTTTAAATTTAAATAGTTACTAAAAAAGTTTTTTTTTTGTTAAATTGGAATTACTCCAAAGCAAAGCTAAAATACACCAAAAAAACCCACACTCATATACCACCCTGGGCCCCACCACATCCCGAGCTCAACTCCATCGTAGCATGATATTGTCCGCTTTGGGCCCCGACCACGCCCTCACGGTTTTGTTTCTGGGAACTCAGATGATAATCTCCCAGTGGGTCACCCATCATGGGATTGCTCTCGCACGAACTCGCTTAACTTCGAAGTCCTAATGAAACTCGAAGCCAGTAAGCTCCCAAAAGTCTTCGTGCTAGGTAGAGATGGGAATATACATATAAGGCTTATAGGATCCACTCCCCTGGACGATGTGGGATGTTACAATTCACCCCCCTCAGAGGCCCGACGTTCTCGTCGGCACAGATCCGACCAGGGATTGGCTTTGATACCAAATTGTCACATCCCGACCCGAGCCCCTACCACAGCTCAGGCTTGACTCCATCTTAGCATGATATTGTCCGCTTTGGGCCCTGACCACGCCCTCATGGTTTTGCTTATGGGAACTTAGACGAGAACTTCCCAGTGGGTCACCCATCATGGGATTACTTTCTCTCAAACTCGCTTAACTTCGGAGTTCCAATGGAATCCGAAGCCAGTGAACTCCCAAAATGCCTCGTGCTATGTAGAGATGAGAATATACATATAAGGCTTACAGGATCCACTCCTCTGACCGATGTATGATGTTACACACATAGAGGACAAACAACGCTACAAACCAGAAAAATAACATACAACATAGTGATACAGGGTTAAAGACTGACACTGTCAACAAATACATGTCATCCTAAATCACTCCAACACTGACTCTAATTAATGTGGACAAGGTAGACCATCTTTGTTCAAAATATGTACAATCGAAGATGGGGGTCTTTCGACCCAAGTATAATTGCTCATCGCCGAGTACTTCGCAGAAGCTAATATGTGAGCCACCATATTGGCAGATCGAGGAACCCAATACCATCTACACTGTTGGAATGACCCCTTCAGCTGCATAGCTTTCCAAAGCATTGGAACTGCCTCCCACCTTCCCTAATAAATGGAATTGCATAAGCTAGAGACAACTTTCCTTGAATCTGATTCAATTATAACCTTCCCTAACTCCAAATGATTAGCAAGCTTGAACCTTTCCAAAATAGCTTTTGCCTCAACTTCTTGCACTCCCTCTGCCAAAATACTTTGCTTCCTAGCAGCAATAAATTTGACATTAGAGTCTCTGATCACCGTGGCCACATATCATTTTTTCGTTGTCGAGATCCAACTTGTATCAACATTTATTTTGTACCATAAAATCTTAGGTGGAGACCAAACCGAGATTGATTGAAAATCTCGAATCAAATTTGCTTGATTACCTGGAGAAGTTCCCGATCCCAAAGCAACCATGTTCGACCTTTTGTTAGCCTCCATGCAGGCAACACGGCCACAATTAATTTTATGAATTACCTGCAAAGACAAAATAGTTTTCTGATTGAAAATAGCATTACATCTCTCCTTCCATATATTCCAACATGTGAAAGCCACTTGTGATAAAATTCGGTTCTTATCTTGCTTACTTCTCATATTAGCATTAATTAAAGAATATAACCAATTTTCAAAAGTGTCAATTTCATTTCGATTCACCTTGTAATTAAGTTGACCTCCAAACCAGACAGGCTGAACCCATTGACACAACAAGAACAAATGCTCCACCTATTCCTCTTCCTCATTACATATAGGGCAAGTAGGAGAGAGAGCAACATGTCATTTAAAGAGATCCAACCTGGTTACCAGAGCTCTATGAAGGATTTGCCACATGAAAATTTTGATCTTTGGAGGGACCTTCAGCTTCCAAATACTCTTCCAAACTTGTTTGTTTATCGAAACAAGTAAAGATGATCTCCTATGCCGAATAGGAACCTCCCTGCTATGAATCCAATGATAACCAGACTTAACCGTATACTTAGCCTCTTCTCTGAGGCCAAGTGAATCAATCATACAGGAATGGTCTCCAATTTGTACCTCTTTTATCTGTTCCATCTCATGTTAAGCCACACAATAACTAATGGGTTGGAGGTCCCATTCATGAGAAGATGGCTTAATTATGGAAGTAAAAGTTTCAGTTTCCAATTTTAACAAAAAGTAAAAAATGATGACGAAATGGCTCCTAAGCAAATTGTTTTAACTGGCTATATGTTTTGAAAGCAAATTTAGGATTAAACACTTGGAGGTGAAATTCTATGGTAGCCTTTAAAAAATATTAGGTATCAATATCATTTAAGTTAAACGATGATAGTGTAATGCAATCACGTCAAGTATTTATAATATTTTACCTTTACAATGTAATAGGATTATGGTAAGGTTCTCATTACTAAAACCTCATGACATTACTTTACTTTAGTCTAAAGAAGGGATTCTAATTGCACTGGTCAAATGAATAGTGTTTTGTGATGGATTTTGAGTTATTTACAAAATTGCCATCGCTTCTACACTTCAGATTGGAAATTTCAATTTATTTACGAAATTGCCACCACTTCTCCCATGCACGTGTCGGCCATCGTAGAAAGGGTGTTCCGTCGGTCTCATCAGAGTGGGTTGAGGGCAGGCAGAGTGACAGAGGGTAGGTCTAGGGTTTATCTCTCTCCCATCATCTTCTTCTTCTCCATCAAAACCCTGATTTTCCCTATCCGATTTTTCCTATTTCTCAACACACCCACCTCCCCTCTCAAGTCTCTAGCTTTAGCCGGCCGCAACTCGACCAAACTAACCCAAACCCTCAAATGGGCAGCCCACCCGAACCCATCACTGTCCATCCCCATCATCACCGCTTACTCCACCGACCCACCGTCCCTCCACCACCTCTGCACCCAAACCAACGTCCAAATGCATTCTCTTGCTTTGTTTTTGGAATTCGTTTTTAAATTTGATATCTTTTTTGAAGCGGCTGGAAAGAGGTCGCATGAAAATTTCTCTTCTGGGAGTTATGGAGGAGTTGAGAAGGAAGAACAGAGTCTTCAGCAAAGATTCAAAGCTGCTTCGCTTTCTTTCTCAAGTGTTTCATCAAGGAAGAAGATGGTCAGTTAGTTCTCTATTTTTCAAAAAAAAAAAAAAAAAAAAAAATCATGATTTGAAGAATTTTTGGGAAAGTTTTGAGAGTTTGAGCTTATGAATTCATGTTTTGCAGAAACCAAATGAACC